CAGTCAATATATTTTAGGGAAAATCATCATTAGTTTATGGTCAATATTTGAAAGAGAGTTTCAAAGTATATATATATATATATATCTGTTACACTAATTTTATTTAAAGCTCTATGATTGTATAATGCCAGTATCTATAAAACAGAGTTGTTAGCCAAAAGCAAAACAAAATAAAATAAAAATACAATAAGGAAAATATTATGAAGAGCATGGATTATTTTATATGAATATTAATTTAAGGTTGGTGAGTGACTTTAAATGTACTTTTATAAAAATGATTTTAAATGTATTTTGAGGTTTAATAATTGAGAATAAATTGATTGGGAATCATACTTGGTGATAATGTCTGTAGAGAATGAGAAATTAATTTATTTTTCTCTGACAGTAAACTTTAAATTAGAAATTACTTTACTGGAACTTGTTTTGGCTTTGTTTTGTTTTGAGTTGACATCTTACTCTATTGCCCAGACTAGAGTGCAGTAGCACTGCAGCCTTGATCTCCTGGGCCTCAGGTAAGCTTGTCCCACTATGCACAGCTAATTTTTTCATTTTTTTGTGGAGATGAGATCTCACTATGTTGCCTAGGCTGGTCTTAAACTCCTGGACTCAAGTAATCCTCCTGCCTCAGCCTCCCAAAATACTAGGATTATAGCGTTGAGCCACCGTGCACTGCCTATTGGGTTTTTTGATGGTATTATAAGAGGAGAAATAAGTATTAGAGTTTAAAAGTCTAAATTTATAGAATCATAGGGAAAAGGGAATCTAGAATGATTATTCTTTGGAGTGATGATGACTTTTAACAGCTATTAAGGCTATATAATACCAAATTTTGATTGAGAGGAAAATGGGTTAAAAGAGGCCAAAAATAAACACAGGGAGTCTAGTTAGGAGATTACTACAGTTTTCCAAGTGGAAGATGATGTAGATTGTATCAGGGGTGTGTGTGTGTGTGTGTGTGTGTGTGTGTGTGTGTGTGTGTGTACGCACTCGTGCTTGTGCCTATCTGTGCATAAAGAATGAGAGGGATAGATAGAACACAGATAACCTGGATAGGAAAATGAGCAAATTCCACATCTGCTGAGCTTTGAAGCATGTACCTGCAGTTTACTTAGTAGCTGAAAGGCTTCACTTATATTTTCTAAATGTTGATTTTTATTGTATTTTGTGGAAATAATTCAGAAAAGTATAAGCAAAAACAAATAAAATGGCCTATTCATCCCACCACCTTGAAATGATGATTGTTATTATTCTGGTGTAGTTCTTTCCAGTGTTTTTTTTTTTCTGTGAGTACAGATTTATGCTTTAGGGATCTTTTTGGATATATACTTGCACATCAAGAACTGCGAAGGATTTGAGACTTTCCCTACTGGAATGCTAACATGTCAGCCTGCCTCAGTTTCACAGATGCAGGTAGATGACAGGAGACTCCTGGGCCAGAGACCAGGGACTTTATTGCTCACAGTACAGAAAGCAGCATTAGTATATTTGTGTCAGTTCTCATTGCTCCAAGACCCATGGAGGCCAGATGGATAGTTCAGATGAACATGTACATGCAGGTGAAGGCATTACAGAAGAGCAACCCTGAGTTTAGAAAACCTGAATATTTTATAATGGGCAGTAATATGCCTGCCTTTTGGTCTGGAAGAAGACAGTATTATTTGAGGCAGGAAGCATGTCTACTCTTTGATCCAAAAAGGGATACTACCTCTGTCTTTCAAAGCTATTTACTATAGAAATATCCTTGAAACATTGTCAGAAAAGAAAACTGTGCCGTTGCTTGCAAAATGTACAGAAACCTGAGAGAATTGCAGAAAATTGCTTCTCAACAAACATAAATGTTTCCACAACAGCATTTTAAATGGCTATATATATATCTATAAAGAGCCAATCATAGAGACATTGCACAATTTACCTCCAATTTCCAGTTTTCCTAATATTAGTCTTTTCTATTGTTTTAATTAAAAATGCTTCACTTAAACATTTAGATTTGGGGCAGGAGGGAGTAAAATATTGTGGTCACCTTGTATATCGTAGCCAAGTTTGTAGTCGTAGGTAGCAAATAGACTTTCGCTGGTTTAAAGTCTGTACAGTCTCTTCAGCTTGGCCTTCTGTATAAATATGCGCTGGCTGTGAACGGCAAGCATGTCTATTGTCTCAAGATGTTATCCAGAAGGAGATAGGCTCTGTGAAGCTGGATATTAATGCTGATGCTTGTAGTCCAGCCTGCACTGGTTTTCTTCTGGAAAATAGAGGTATTTCCTGACATGTTTTGCTGCTCACACATCTGCGTGAGCCTCAGACAGAAGCTCCTACTGCCTGGCATTAGTGGGGCCCAGAAGGTCCATGTAAATCCCTACAGTGAAAAGGGGAATAATCCAAGATCCAAATAATAATCACCTTGTCCAAACATCTGGAGAGGGTCTAGTCTGGTGAGGGGGATTCAAGAAAGGCAAAACAGGATCCTGGCTAAGTTTTAATCCTAGGACTTGAATACAAGGAAAGTCCCCAATGTGGAGGCTTCTGTGGGGTTGTGGGGTCTTCAAATGTATCTAGAATGTTTCAGACACAAATGGTGAGGACAAGACTTTCTTAGTGGAAAAGAAGACTCAATTAAACATACCCAGGAAGGTTACTTCCTAGTCAAGCATCATCCCAGTAAACTCCAAGTTAAAGTTTGTGACAGATATAGTCATAAAATTAGACTGCAAAGATGAAAAGAGGCAACTTGAAATCTTTTCTAAGTAAATAACGATCACAGATTAAGTAGGAGATAGAGCTTTCTAATTTTTTATAAATAAGAGGAAGAAGTGTTCAGGGACATTGTCAAAAGTGTGAAGAGTAAAAAGTGAATTTGCCTATTCCTTGAACTTACATTTTTGAACACTCACTATGTGCGGAGGGATCTTTTAAAAACCTGAGAATTGGTGCACAAGATAGATAAGATGAGGAGCTATGTGAGGCAAAGGCATGGAAAGACAAAGCCTGTGAGGTGAGAACAAAAGTAACAGTTCCAAGGACTAAAAAAGAGACCTGGAATGAAATGTGCTGGAGCTTAGTGATGGGGAAAGAGAAAGGGAACGGATGCCCTTGAGAGGTAGTCAGGGCTAGTTGATGTAATGTATTGCAAGCATCAGTAAAGGGTCTAGATTTCAAGTCTAATGGGTGATGCAAAGGATTTTTCACACAGCAGTATCATGGATTCTGAGCTTATAATGTTTTTAAAGATGACTTTGCTCTCTTTATTAGGAAGACCAATGAGTAAACTTTTGCAGTGGTTCCCAGTGAGTGGTGCTGATGGTTGATTATAGTTTTGACAGCAGTGCATGAGTTTACATAAGAGCTGTACTTTTTTTTTGTTGTTGTTGTTTGTTTTTGTTTTTTATATATCAATATTTTTTATTTTGATATTGTGGGGTACAGTTAAGGGTTAGGTATACAAATATGCTTCATTCAGACACCCTTGTTGATAAGGGGTGTCTCCCTGTCCCCAGACAGCTATTGACTACCGTTAATCTCACCTCCCTTCCCCCCCATAGTTTCCCACCACTGTCAGTCCTTTTTTTATATTATTAGGATGGATGTTCAAGGTCCGCTATATGAGTGAGAACATGTGATACTCAGATCTTTGTTTCTGTGACAGGTCACTCAGTATTATTGACTTTAGTTCCATCCAGGTTGCTGCAAAGTTCATGATTTTGTTCTTTTTTATGGCTGCATAGTATTCCATCGTGTATATGTACCACATTTTTTTAATCCAGTCCTCTTTTGGACAGTATGGTTGATTCCAGGTTCTGTACTTTGAAGTAAAACCTACTGAAGTTGTCAACAGATTGGCTATGGATGGAAAAGGGAGGAAAGAAATCAAAGATAACCTCTAGGTTTGAAAATGGAAATAGAACCCTAATAAATATCTCTGCTGGCCTTCAAAAGATAATCTTGCATGAAAAAAGTAATATTTGATATTGAAATTGCTGTTTGGTTGGGTTGTCTTGGGGTGTCTAGAACCTTACTTGATGTTATGTTTTGAATGTGCCCCTCAAAAATTCATGTGTTAGAAACTTAGTTGCCAATGTAACACTATTAAAAGGTGAGTCCTCAAAGAGGTGATTGGGTCATGAGGGTGGAGCCCTCATAAGTGGATTATGCCCTTATCTCCAGAGTAAGTTAGTTCTTGAGGGAGCATGTTGTTATAAAAGTGAACTCTGGTTTGTGACCCGCCTGGGCAGGTGAGGCCTCATCTCCACAATAAATAAAAAAATAGCCGGGTGTGGTAGCGCGCGCCTGTAGTTCCAGCTACTTGGAAGGCTGAGGCGGAAGGGCCACCGGAGCCGAGCAGGTGGAGGCTGCGGTGGCCAGGAGCAGCCAGGCACTTTAGTCTGGGTGACAGAGTGAGACTCCAACTGAAAAAAAAAAAAAAAAAGTGAACTCTGCTCACTCTTGAGGTCTCTTTCCCATGCACTCACTTGCCCTTTCACTTTTCCACCATATTCTAATACCGTACAAAATCCCTCACCAGAAACTTCCACCATTTCCTTGGATTTCCCAGTCTCCAGAATTGTGAACCAAATAAGCATCTTTTCTATATAAATTACCCACTCTCAGGTATTCTGTTAAAGCAACAGAAAACTGACTAAGACAATTAGCAAATGGATGGATGGAAGAAAGGGTAGATGAAAAGATGATAAATGCATGAACTGATAGGTGGATAAAGATGTCTTAGCAATGAACGCTCAGATTGACTCCCTCCCATTTTTCATATGCATCTATATCTTTGAAGCCATTGAAAGATGCCTTTCTCAGAGTACTCGGTGCAAGTCTCGAAGATTCTGGCCCAAACTACTTTGTCCATTCTGAGAACCGAGGAGATAGTTTGTCTTAAGTATTATCCATAATTCCTTCCAATTGAAACAATATTCTTTGGCTCATTTCAACTATAAATGCCAATTGTTTGGGATTTTTTCTCTTTATAAAAATGATCTCAATAATCTTTATTTTACCAGACAGGAAGCACTACTTGCAGCCATCAGTGAAAAAGATGCAAACATTGCCTTGCTGGAATTGTCTGCCTCCAAAAAGAAAAAGACACAGGAAGAAGTCATGGCCCTCAAGCGAGAAAAAGACCGACTAGTGCATCAATTAAAGCAGCAGGTGGGGCCTCCTGCAAGAAAGGTGTGTTATGCTGGGTTTGGGGTCTTGGGTGCTTTCTCTGGGATTTAGCCACTCTCCATTTTCCCATGTCCATCCTGTGGGCTAAAACAGCTAAAACCAGGTAGGAGCAAAATGGTCTGAGTTGTTGCTGGGACATCATTTTACTGCTTTTCTATGTTTATGTGCATGTGGCTGGGCTTGTGTAGTTTGCAAACTTTCTTTTGTGTTAGCATCATCCCCCCTCCTCCAAATAACTCTCATCTCTCTTCCTTCCCGTGGATTTTTTTTACTTCATGTTAAATTCTAGAAACTCCTAATTAAATTCTGGGTATCTTCTTTCCTATTGGACCTGTTACCTTCTGTCTTGCTCAACTTCTGGCCCCTGTACATAACTCCCCTTATTCGGGTTTTTAGATTTCTTTCTCTCTGTACTTCCAACTTTGGTTCTTCAACTATTCTGTCTAGTACCTTTCAGCCAAGAAGCATCTCCCAGCTTCTAACACTGCCAAACTATACTTGGAGGCTTCCCTGCCATTATTCAGTCTAATTTTTTAAGTCACCTGTTTCCCCATTATCCTGTGCTTCCTCCTCTCTAGGCCACTGTATTTGTTTTGAAATGAAAGGAGGGGCATAGTTTTAATGTGTGGTGAAAGTTCTTTGCTCTCTGAAAGGTTATCTGGAAGTGGCTTAAATGGAAATAATTGCACCTGAAGCATTTTGGAAAATCATCCCTGAAATCTTCAGATGTTATTTCTCCTCCATATACAACGGGGGACTTTTGTAAGTAGTAGTTAAAGATACTCACAGAGATCCTAGTTTATTATGACACCCACTCAGCTCAATGATCTAGGTCCTCACAAGATGGCTCACATCTTAGCTAGGGCCACATGTGGTTCTGAAGCTCTCTACTGCCACATGGGTACCATGCATTATGCGTGCACATCGATTCAACCCCTGGGACTGGCTCTCTGTCTGCTAGGGTAAGCTTTGCTGAACCCAGTGGGCAGGGTGAGTAGAAGGGAAACCTGAAGGAGTAAGCACCTCCCCTTACAATGGGGCCACCCTTTTTCCTCCTCAGGAAGGAAAAGGCATCCTTTGGCCCTGCACCAGAATTCATTTCTCATGGGCTGCCTTGCTCAGAGAGAGAAAGAGAGACCACTGCCATGCCTGGGCACCCTCTCCTTGCAGAGGGAGGGTCCCAGTCACTGCCAGACATTGGGGTCATTCCACAGAGTGGCATGCCTTGCTAGCGCTGACCCCAGGGTTCGGGGACTGCTTACATCTGACTTCTTTGTTTGGGGCTGTGCATCTTCTACACTTGGTTTTCCACCTACTTGGCCATAGAAAGTCAAGATAAACCTCCTTCTTTGCTTTTCCTTAATTTCTTCCCTCCACCCTCCCCTCCTGCACCTAACCATTGTAGCTTTCTCCCACAGGTTTATAGACCTAAGAAACAGCCCCTGAGCTCGAATATACCATGCACTTGTGATGCTGGCTACAGCCCAGATATTACGGCCAAGTACCACGTGTCCAGCTACGATGCACACATGATCCAAAGGTCTCAGGTCAGTCAGCTGCTAAGGAGACACTTGCCCCCACCAGGGGGGTGGGGGTGCCTAAGAGCTGCATCGTATCTTGACCTTCGCCTCTTTTGATGATTGCCAGTACTCAGTGGCCATAAAGTCTGAGACCATACATGATAGCGTTATTTCATGACTTGCAGTGCAATTTCCGTTCTTATGTACTTGCCAGTGGTTCCTGACTTGGTGGCCATCTTGCAGGGTCAGCTCTTCTGAAAGGCCAGTGGAGCTGCAGAGCCAGAAGCCTTCCTACCACACCCAGTGAATTCTTTTTTCTTCTGTCTCTTAGATACTTTATTCTCCTATCTCCCTCTGCTTTTCCCAATAAGGCATTTTTAAGGCTGCTCTTTTTCTTTCTCAGCATCATGAAAATACGCTTCTAGATTCCATTAAGGCCCTTCAATTTGTTCCTGGTAAACTGCACAAGGCCTTCATTCTTTGTGACATACTTGGTTTTGGGTATCATGAGGCACATTTGGAAAGCCCCAGTTATGAAAAGTCAGGCTCCTGCCTGGGCTAAGGCAGCATCTGAAGATCTGTTGTGGAGAAAAAGGCAGCGAAGAAGGAGGATGGGCTTCTTGGTGATTTAGGTCTGAAATAAGGATTTCACACACCCTTCCTACCAAAGAACAAGAAAAATCATGTGAATTTAAGTATCTTTGATGCAAGTGATAATGACTCTAAGAATAATGGTTAATTTACTTGTAAAAGCAACTCCCTTTCATTTAAAGAGTGTTGACTGTGTGCTAGGTCATGCATTGAGAGTCCCTCAGAGATGCTATTGTTCCTTAGTCCTCCCAGCAGACCTGCAAGTAAGGTACAGGATTATTTCCCTTTTTAAGAGAGTATAACTAGGGCTCTGAGTGTGAAATAATCAGCCCAAAGTCACATAGCTCGTAAGTGATGGAGTTCAGGCTTTAGATCGTCTACCTATTCCACACATATCCCCACCAGATTCAGATAGGAATTCAGACTGACAAGCAGAAGGGTTTTTCTAGAAATTGTGAAGTCTCCTTATCTTCATACATCTGAAATAGATGCCAAAAAGCTGTTTCAAAATATTCTCCAACCATTCACAAAGAGTAGGCTCTGCCTGTAGTTCTTAGGCTTAGTGTTTAACCACATCAACAATAATTACTAATACGTTTGAGCTCTCATCATATACTAGGTATGGGTATAAGGGTTTTGCGTGCATCAACTCATCACCTCCCAGCAAGACTGAGGGTATGATGCCAGAAGTTCCATCATGCTTGAGGAGGCACTTTGCCCAACAATCATAAATGGATTGTAAAGGTGACATCCAAAGTCAACATGCTTAGTTAGGTTGAATCTTGTTTCTGGCATTTGTTAACTGGGTGATTGTAGGCAAGATACTAAACCTCCCTGGATCTCAATTTCCTCATCTGTAAATTGGGCTAACAACCTAATTTAAAAAGTTGTGAGGTATAGTGTACACAAAGTGTACACGTGGCTAGTACATCATAGGTGTGTGAACTGCTATTACTGCTACTACTATTACCATTAATTGATATAACCCCTGCCAACTCTTAGAGGTAGTTTAATTTTGATCTCACCAGTGCTGTTTTGCACCCAAATGGAAGTTACAGTTCACTGAGTACATACACATTGTTGAACTGTGGCAGAAAGAACAGACAGATATTGGCACCTAAGCCTTGCTGGTTCTCTTCCCCTAAAGTTAAGCACTTGGGGAAGAGTGAGCATACATGTCAAGAACCCTAGACCCCAGCTCCCAGTCTGCACCAAGAGACCCATAGTGTTTTTTAAATTTTTTTGATTTGTGTATGAAAACCGCATAGAAGTCAGTGAGGGAGGGGACCCCTGGGAGAGTGAGTCCCAGACCTCAATTGCCTTTACATGCATGGCTGACTTGGAAGAGCAGAGCTCTTGCAGGGGCCGGGCCAATGGGAGGGGAAAGTCATTAGTCTGGCCTGCTTAGCTTTCTACACAGATGGAGAGGCAGACTGGCTCATGGGAGATGTCATCTTCAGGCTGCCTTTTGAGCCGAACTTATCTTATGCAGAAAGTCTCTCTATTGCCCATGCCACCCTAGGTGACTGAACATGAGTAGCTCATTCAACATCCCCCAAAATTATTGTACCTTGCTAGGCACATAGTAGGAGCTTAATAAATATTTGTCACATGAACGAATTCATGGTTACCTCATGCCATGCTCTATGCCATGTATTTTATGTATACATAAGTATGCAAACACTGTCTCATTTTTTCTTCATAATCAACCAACCAATGTATTGCATATCTACTATGTGCCAGGTTCTCTGTTAGGTGCTGGGAATTCATCCACAGCAGATATTTTACCTGCCCCAGTGAAAAAAGCGTCGACCTCATTTTTGAGTTGCTCAAATCAAGGCTCCAAGAGACCGTTTGACTGAACCACCATCATACCACTTGTACCTGGCAGTGCAACATTGGGCCCAGTGCTATGGGAGTGCTGAGACTTGGATCTTGGCTGGGTTGAATACTGCCTCCCTAAAGCAACATGGTGAGCCATGATCAGCTTCATACCTCACAGATGTCATTAGAGAAACCCAGTCCCAAGGCCTCAGCCTGTGACTCCCAACGTGCTTGGGGCTATGGGGAACCAAGGAATGGGTAGCTTGGTGAAACCAAGTGTCACATTAGAATTCAACTCAAGAATTTATTGAGTTGCTACTGTGTGTTATAGTGCTGGGCATTTTTGGAATACATCATGACCAAAATACTCCTTTCTTGTGGAGCTTACTTTTTAATGGCCAGAGAAAGGCAATAAACAATGAACGTAATAAATAAGTGCATTGCATGGAAGAAAAGAAGAAAAATACAGACCAGTGTTACGGAGAACAGGAATGCCAGGGAGATGATTTAAAATAGGGTAGACAGGATGGGCTTCATTGGGAAGGAGATAATGGAGCAAAGACTTGAAGGAGTTGAGGGAGTGAGTCATGTAGAAATCTAGGGGAATAATCTCCTAGCAGAGGGGACAGCTAGTGCAAAAGCCCTGAGGCAGGAGCACGCTGGTGTGTTTGGGGAATAGCAGGGAGGCCAGCATGGCTGGTATGGAGTAGACAGGAAGGTGAGGAGGTGAGCTGGCAGAGTGATACTGAGGTAGAGCAGACCGTGTAGGACTTTAGGCAGAATTTACTGAGTGTATATTCTGAGGCAGAAATTCTGTGCCATTAGGAAGCAGAACACTAGCCGTGCAGCCTCAGAACAGGCTCCCCAGCACCACTTTAGGCTGCCCTGTTTAAGGCTACCCTCTTGAGCCCACTCTTCACATTCCCTAGCTTCAGCCTCCAAGGACGCTCAGTGGTTAGCTTGCATTTTAAAATCTTAAGGAAGCATTGTCACTTCCATTGGAACCATGAAGGAGAACTCTTGCCAGAATTTGCCTGTCATGCCTGA